CTACCCCCTCCAGGCACAGGACCGCTGCCCCTGATGCAACAACAAGAATACACCCACTGGATCACAACAGGCAGCCTCCCACAATCCTACCTCGACCGAGTTTGCACACCACCCCCAACGCCACAGACCCAACACCCCCAACCACCGACAACTACGCCCGACATCAACCTAACAAGCAGCCAACCACCACCACCTCTCCATTCCACACCACCCCAGGCACAACCGCCAAAGAACCAAGGTGCTCAACCACCACCCACCTTTGTGCAGCCACCCCCACTCGATGACCCCTTCAGCGAAGGCCATGACACACCCACTGACACCGAGACCGACACCAGCCACGACTCCAACAGCACCGAAGATGACCCCCCCACGGACACCACCCCCCCACGCACCAAGCCACCGTGGGAGCAACCAGGCTGGGGGGGAATTCCCCCCAAACACCCCCACCAGCGCAAAAAGACCCAAGGAGCAGGCCATGGATCACAGCGAGTTGGCAACAAAAAGGGGAAACACAACTACAAACTGCGGGCCAAAGCGGGACAACCTGTCCCACAGCACCCTGGCCCCCAGCCACAGCAGGGCCCCGGCTGGGGAATTCTAGCAGAACAAGCCGCAGCAGACACACAAGCCCAGCCCCCGCCAGCAGACACAACACAAGCGGGGGAAAAGGCCAGCAACGAGGCCCGGCAACAATACGAACAGCGCACCAACCCCTACGAGCACCAAGCCACAGCAGGCATGCCACAGACCCCCAGAGGCCCCCAAGCAGCTCCCACGGGGGAAGAGGCCACCCATCCCCCGGCCAACACTTTCACGGAAGAGGAGCTGCGAAACCAGCGCGAATGGTTCGAGGCGCAAGAGGGCTGCTACCAAGGACCACTACCACCCGAGATCGGTTTTTCCGAACCCCCCCAAACAACAACGGTCGACCCAGACCGCCCACCGTCTCTGCCTACGGCAGCAGACACCATCGCCACCCTCACCCAACTCACACACGGATGCTGGGAAGTCCAAACCCAGAGCCTCACTAACAGTGGCACCCCCAGCAGCTCCTCCACAAGCCTACCACCCCTCCGGGTCCTTCGCGAAGGCATGGCAGGCCCCCTCCACAAAGCCCCAGTCTTCTCCAGGGGGATCAAGGCCAAATTCGCCCCCATGGGCATTCCTGACAACTGGGTGCTCATTGTCACCGAGACACCACCGCTTGACACCTTTCAACCCAACAGCATCCTCCTAGTGGTTGGCGACCAGTTCCGCATCTATAACACGGACAAAGGTTGGGTGATGACAGTCGAAAGACTCGTCACGTCGGCCGCCCGGGAAAGCCGCCTCCCACCAACCAACACCAGCACACCACCCAACAAACCTGCCACCAAAGACCCCACACGCAACAAGCCACAAAAACCGGACAAACATGTCCGCTTTGCAGAGACCACCACCCACGACTCCCACACAACACCCACAACACCCCCACAAGAGGCGGCAACAAGCTCCCGTGACCCACCGGGGGAACCACAGCAAAACACCACGCCAAGACCCCGCCGGTGGAACACAGACCACCCCCTCCTGGACGGCAGACCCCTACGACGCGGCCAGCGAAGCAAGGGGAAACCCAGCCCCGAGCGCCACAACAACAGCAACCCAGAGCCACACACCCAATCACCAGTGCAAACACCGACAGACCCATTCGCAGGAGTCCGAGATGGCAGACAGATCGGGCGCAAGAGACAACCGCCACCACCACCAAACACGACCTCCACAACCACCACCACATCCACCACCACAACAACAACTGACATGGTGCAAGAAAGAACCACATCCAGCCCCGACAAAGCAACCGGCACAGACACAGCCAACGACCATCTATCCATGATGCAGCGATACCTCCAGCCCGATCCACGCTCGACACCGGACCCCTCCAATGCACAAGCGGGGGCACACGTCCCAGCAAACACCCAGCCAGACAGTGCAGACGATCCCGACGGCCAACTCCCCCCTAACGACCCCCCACCTCTGCAAGCCGCCCCACCACCCACACACGGGACCACAACAAACCGTGTGGAACACCAGCTCCTCCGCATACACCACCTGGCCAACCAAATACCTGGGGGGAGCATGATTGCCAACCTTGCCGAGTGCGCCCTCGCAGACCTCCTCGTCGACAGCCAAACAGAAGCACAGGTGTTGCAACACCTCGAACTCGAACAAAGCACACACAACAATACCGGCCAAGCAACACAACCCCAACAAGCACCCCACAAAAGACAAAAAACAGAGCAGCAGCCGCAACCGCCCACAGCAGCAGCAAAAGCACTCCAACACTTACTACTTACAGCACAGCGCAGGTTGGTCTCGGCCGAGGGGGAGCATATCTTCGTGTCATACTACGACATACAACATGATGTCGACACCATCATTGCATGGCTGAACCTCCTGAGCAATGGGGGGAGCACCTCCTCAGCATCGAGCTCCTCCTCTTACAAGCCTGTGGACGCAGCCGTCATCGGACGAACCGTCCGCGAACTGGGCAGAGCACTGCAAGGCATTCAGAGGGGGAACACCGCCGAACACTGGGTGCTCCTCGCCGAGGTCGTGATGTTTCTCCAAGCCTGGGAGAAAGGGGAAAAAGTCGCTCACCCAGCCGACGTAATAGCCTCCAACCGCGGGGTGCTCACCTCGCATCTCGCTCGCGAAAGACGACAGCAAAGAGCGCGGGGGATGGTTCATGAACTCCAAGCACTGGGGGAACGCCTCCACGACTGGCCCGCGGACGAGCTGAACAGCATCCACGCCGCGCTCTTGCAGACCTTGGAACAGGTCGAGGACGCCCTCCAGCCGGGGGGGAGCGCACCTCCGCTCCAAAACTTGCCGAGGGAAGATGCCGTGGCCCCGCTAAGCTCGGGGGAGTGGTGGCTACATGATCGACACCACGGACTGGGCAATGCACCGGGGAGTGACAACAGGAGCCCCACGGATGCAGTCAATAGCGAAGAAGACGACGGGGGAAGCCCCGCCTCGCATCGACGCCGACGAGTCCATGCAGCTTTCGCAGACGAGTGAACTGCGGGGAAGTGAGCCGCCGTGAGCATAGTGCCAGACCTCCCCTGACTGAGGGGAAAAACTAAGCATAGTCCAGTCTTTGTCCTACCCCATCGTACTACTCAACCTTCTTGGTGCCTGCTTCCATAGTACACACAAAAGCCGGGGGATTGCCTCAGAGGGACAAGGAGCCCAGGAACAACTACCTACATATGGTACTCCTCTAGGGGTTCTAGCATCGCTGTGCCATTGTTTCCAACATACAACATGGGCGAGCCTTGTCAAGTGAGTATGTAAAGAACCTCTTGCTCCGCACAACATGATCACTACACATGGTAGCCCCCTAGGGATACTAGTAGTGCTGTGCCGTTGTTTCTGTACCAACAGCTGCGAGCAAGGGGGAAACCAATACGCACAGCCCACAGGCCCAGGGTCAAGGGATGAACTTTTCCGGTCATGTTACAGATGTTTGTATCCTAATATGGCTGTTCAGTCCTGTCCAAACCTGGGCCGGGGGAAACACACTCAAGGGGAAAAAACCCCTGCTCAAAACGCTAAGGGAAGATATGCAGCTCCATCTCGGAACTTTCCTACAGATGGTACTCCTGTAGGGGTAGCAGTATTGCTGTGTCCTTGTTTCATAATGAGAGACGAGCTGCAGACATGCCCAAAGCGAATAAATCTATTTCAGTCCCCTCTTGGTGTAAGCTCATCCACATGGAACACTCTGCCTTTAGCGTCGTTGCTTAGTTGCGTGACCATATGCCGAGGGGGACTAAAGAACCAACAGCTTGTGTACCCAAAACTAAGTGCCATGTTTGTAGCCAGTCTGCACTCCAAACTAGAGGGACAAGCAGTGAGTTTCATACGGGGGGAATACAGCCCCACCTAACCCTTCCTCTGTCCTCAGCAGAGGCAATGCCGACTGTCTGCAAGCCATATTTATCCGACAGATGCAGTTTACTGGGGGACGCAATGTAGACAGTCGTGCATGCTCGGGGGAATATTGTCTTGGAGAGCATACGTACTCCCTCACCGCTAACTCATCATAAATAGTTCAAAATCATGGGAGTCCTATGCTCGCTCTTCACACCCCTATCCTGCATTAAAACAATGCGGGTGGGCCTGTGGCCCGGGGGTCTTGACCGACCCTCATGCCCGGGGGAGAGAGAGAGAGAGAGAGAGAAAGATTGCGGAAGTGTCCCGTTTGGTCATTGCTGCGTATGTTCGTGCGCCCTGGCTCGAAGGAAATGGTACATGAAGGTTTTGGAGAACCCAACCAGTCACGCATGCGACCCCACGCTCCTCTCACGGTTGCCCGCGATTGCTGCCAAAAGTTGATGGTGCAAAGACAGGCAACACTTCATGGCCTAGTCTCAGAAGGTTTCCAGTTCAGAATTCTCGAGCCAGTGCTGGTGTTCCCCAGGCTTCTTGAAGGAGTCGCCGACAGTGTAGTGTGTTGCGGATCTCAAACTTCGGACTCTAGCTTTTTCTGCGAGCGGGCGTTGAAGGACCGTGGCAAATGCGAGCTGTCAGACTTTGGCGGCCGCTTAACATTGCTGCGAGATACTCTTCGACAAGACCTGCGATCTCTGTGGCCCAGCTCGAGCTTAGATGTCTGGAAGTGTCTGTGGTCTCCTCTCCGTCTCTCGTCTCGCGAAACCTTCGTTGTTTCACACCTTGAAGGCAGTGGCGTGTGTCGATGGCGAGCCGCAGTCTGTTGTGGCCGCTCAAATCATGGCGCGCATGTTCCAGACCGGGGACTCTGTCTGGGAGCCGTGACCCGCAAGCTATTGTCTTTTCTTGGCGCCTCGACGCAGTGTGGATGTTCACTCGTTTTCTGGCACTGCCTTTCAGGTGTACCGCGCGGTGAAGGCCCCGCAGGATGCAGTACGGGCCTTACATTGTCGAGTGTTTGGAAAAGGAACTCGGTACGTTTTTCGACCCAATCGTAGAACTTCACGTATGTGGCACCAAGGCATTTCCCGAGCAAGCCAATGCAAACGCAAAGCACCTGGCAGAGGAAGCGAATGCCCAGAAAAGTCTTGACTCAGTGGCGGAAGTTTTCCGGCAAGCCGGACTGGAGCCGGGTGCCATACAAACCCGGGTGCAAACAGTGATGTCTCCGGGAGCCGCAGTCACTTCCTTTGTCGGAAAATCCAATGCTCACTTCGTGTCTTTGGGATCACACGGCCCCGGGCGGGTCTTGCACAAGTCGCTTGCCAGCTATTTGATGCAGAGCGACTTGGCCGAAAGTCTTGCTTCGGTGGGATCAGGGGTTGCGCTGTGCCTTTCCCTGACCGAGGCTACTCGGACATTCGCCTTCTGGTGTGCCCCCAGGCAGAGTGGCAGCCCGCCCAAGACGTGGGCCTCAAGTACACCGTGGTCTACGACGGCTGCTCGACGAGCCGCCATGCCCTGGAAGTGCTTGCAAACCATACCGGCTCCCAGGACGGAAAGGGCCAGGACAGTGCAGGGCAGAGGTGTTGTTGTCGTGTTAGGACACCGTGGAAATCCTTCACGCCCACGTGCCGCCACCTCCGGTGCCTCGTGGCAAGTTCCGTGGGGCACCGGCAAGCACGGCCGAGGAGGAGTTCTACCAGCCTTGCCCCCCCCCCCCCCTCACGGGGAGCTGACAGAGCTTCACGTCTGCAGGATGCGCAGCAGGCGCAGCTGCAAGCCCAATCGCTGTTCCAAGAGGCGGAAGAAATCCTCTCAGGACAGAGTGAGCAAGCTCAAGTCGCGTTCGCGAGATGTCTTCATCTATGTATGGTATCAGGAAGCGGAGGTGGCATCAAGCAGGTGATCGGGACCCACATCGAGGTGCAGTCCGGCCATTTGCTGGGAGAGAGGCTGCTGGACACGGCGACTTCGAACGGATGCGACGTGCCGAGCCGAGAGCTCTCGAGAGTACTTGGCAGAAATCGTCTTTCTGAAAGGGGGATAGGACCGGATCTCCTTAGGTGCTCGTGGCAGGGACCAAGTGTATGCCTGGAATCGGGAGCCTCTTCGAGCCGCTGCTGAAGGGCAGAACCGTGCTGGGCGTCTTGTCGCTTGTCTGCAGCTTCTCTGTCAGTCAGCACCGTCCTTGGCTTTGTTCTGTTGGCCGCTGCATGGCTGCCTGCAGGCAGCTGAGATCAGCTGAGGAAGTCGTCACTTACGACACATTTGCTGAACAATGCAGTGGACATACCTGTCCTGTACATCAATTGAGGAGGGCGGGCACGACAGGTCAGGTCCACAAAGTTGTGAACTGAGCTCGTGCAGTCGAGCGACGATGGTCCTCTGAGAGCAAGAATTGAAAGAGTGCACATTGCTTCAACACCGAAAATGCCAGCCGAGCAGCGAGCTTTCCGAGCCTCCAGGTCCGAGCCTCCAGGCAACCTTGACTTCGAAGCGAAATGCTAAGGTGGCACTGCTCGGCGAGGGTGCTGAGGGCCCCTGGCGCCTGCGCGACGCCGCGAGGTGCTTCGACAAACAGCTCGATGTTGAGCTTCAACCTTCGCACTGTGAGGTCCAGGAGCGCGAGGCGATAGCCTGCGAGGTCAGTCCCTCAATTTAGGCCTTCTTGCAGAGTTTAGTGCAGGTGTTTTGCTGTTACTTCTTTGTGCCCGTATGCTTTCTTCTCAGGTGCTGCGCAGATGAGCCAAAGTGCCATCCATGCAGCTGCCCTGCTGAGCTGGAATCTGCAGACGTTCAGCTTGAAGTGCGACTCGTGCCAGACGCCGAGCCGGACTAAATCCAGCGTTGCGCATCACGTGTGCATCTGCCGCAAAAAGGCAGTGACGGCCAATGCCATGCCTGCCGTGCATAACGAGATGTTCCGAGTTCAGGTATACTACGCTCTTGGTGTTAAAGCCCAGGCTCTAAAGCAATGGACGACGATGAGTCTTGTCTCGGGCCTTGACCCTGACAACCCTCCGAACAAAAGAAAGTGCCTTTGGCTGATGCTGGAGGTGGTGATCCCATGATCACATGTCGGAACATTACGGCACTGCAGCCTTCGGGCCGGTCCGCTGGTTTCCTTCCCCGGCTGTGAAATTCTGTTGCTTTGTCCTTCGATGTCTGGACTTCCGGGTTTCGGTTAGCGCGATGCGCTTGCGGGCCTATGCCCGGGCTTTGAACGGCTTGGGCCCGGACACTGCTTACATGGATGCCAGCCTTTCGGCAGTTGTTTGGCAAGGATATCTCCTTCGGCCGCCAAGTCTTGTTTGGGGCAAGATAGACTCGGATGTCACAGGAGCCGTCCCTTGGGGGGGTCCCGGTTTGCGATTTGATGAGTGATGTCGCGAGGCTTTTCGACCGATGTTTGTCGGTGATTTCAACATGTTGCGTCGGTATGCTATGGTGGTTATCGATCCATACTTGTTTTTTGGACTGCCACTAGCAACATGTCCAGGTACCGTTCTTTGGCTCCAAGCAAAGCGCTGTTTCACAATCCGCCATTGTTCCTTTTCGACATTATCCTAAGGGTTTCAGACCTTGTGGGACTTCGTGTTTCACAAGCTACATTGCTACATAGTTGATCACAGCACATCACAGCAATGGCCATGTCATGGCCCACGGCTCGCTTGTGGTGCCAAGGACGGATACAACAACGAGTAACTGGTTGAGATCAGCGATTACTGTTAGTCGGTGGTTGAGCGGTAAAGAAGTGACGCCGACGATGCAATTATGTGGGCTGGGCAGAAGGCACAAGGCACGGACCATGCAAGAGTTTACATGAGGCAAGTTGCCCGGCACCCACATGCATTGTACCGCAAGCCACTGAGTGCAGCGGTGTGCCGTTGAGACAGTCACAGTGTTGCAGAATTCAGTATGGTGTGCGCAACTCTGGCTGTGACTTGTCAACTTCTGAACAAAGCAGGAGCAATGCTGGAAGCATCCAGCACTCCGAGATCGCGGCTGCACTACGAAGCTACAGATTGCTGCAGCAGTGGGCCAGCAGTCTGTTGTTACTGCAACAGGAGCATGAGGCCTGGGATCAGGTTTCTGCACGCCAGCTGCACCCTCCTGCAGTGCAGGTCCGTGTGGAGACGACGCCCAGATCTGAGTGACTGAGTGGGTTACCGCACGGAAGGAGGGCCTTCTGAGCCGCTTGCAGCAAGGTCCCGCCTCGTCGGCCTGGCCATTGCTTCGCTCAAGTCGGGTGGACGCTGGCGGTGGCCGACCAGCCGCACATCGCATTCCGAAAGCTCGAACCTTGAACTTTCATCTCAAAGGTCCCAGCAGCTCTGCTGTGGATTGCTTGCCCGTGATGTTCCAGACCTGGGCATCCAGCTCTTCAACCAGGCCCTTGAAGTCGGGTTTCGACACGAGCAGTCACCAAAGCTTAGAAGGAATCCCGTGTTTGTCAAACTGTGCTCGGATATCTTGAAACTCCTCGAGGCATCCTGCATCCCCTAAAGGCGCAAAGTCAGAAAACAGTGACGGCAATTAGATTCACGATGATGAACGAGGCCAGCCGCTACCAGTAGCAGCTATCGTGTCCTCGGATCGAAGCTGTGTAAGCCAAAATCGTTGTTTGCAGCCTTTACATTGATCCTCGACTTGAACTTGAGCTGCGTCAGCATTGTGGGATGTGCACAGGTGGCCTCGTGTGAGGAAGCAGCCGGTGCCTGGCAGGCAGCTTTGGATGCCCTGCAACAGGCCAGCGATATCCAGCGATCCTGCCCCTTGAACACGGGGCATGTCGTTCTGATCGGCGCTTGCTGTGTAGCACGTTTGCGTGCACGGCAACAAGCACCAACGACGACTCGTCGCAGAACATCGGCCCAGCATGGCTTTAAGCTTTTGCCGAACCTCCCCATGGATGCTTCAGGCACAGAATGAAAAGATCTCGGCAAGCGGAAATGATCGGTAGCGCCGGACTTCGTGTGTCACAGTGCATCAACCGGGACCCGACTAGCCATGTGGGAATGCGCACGGACGAAGACGACGAGCCCCACGATTGTTGAGAAAGGTGCAGCGACGATCTGAAGAGTTGCTTGCAGAGCTTGCGACTCCTAGAGACGACGGGTGGCAATTTTGCAAGGGTTGAAACCAAAGAAAGCCGCAGCGGTTGTCCAGTTGCTCATGTTCCTTGTCCACATGCATATTCACGAGATCGCTGGAAAGTCACTGAGCTGCTAGCACGTGGGTAGCGAGACGCACGAAACATAGCGGGATGTGTTTATGCTACTTGCCACGAGGCCGCGCTCAAAATTAGGAGGTCTTTGCTACACGCGGTGCGGAAGCACGCTCGCAAATTGGGACAGCAATGTGAAGCTGTCCGCCTGGATGCAAACCCTAACGGCAAACGTTGTTCAAATTGCTCCAAATGGCAAGAGGCCCTGGCTCCCCAAGTTTCCCAGGAAGAGCGACTGAACTGAACGAAGCAGCTGGGCCCTGATTGCTCGCATAGAGTCTGTCCATGCGGTATAGTATGAGTAACCATCAATCATCATCGTAAACTTCAGCGTCCCAAGACACGACGCGACATGTAGGTCTTGCAGAACCCTGATTCTTTCTGCTGGCTGGGACCTGGGAATCTCTTTTCAAAGTTGAGCGCACTGCAAGGCACGCCTCGGAGGCCTTCGCTGGAGCGGCGTCTCCACTAACGTGGCCTTGGCCGCCTCGGCGGCCGCCCTGGCCCCAGCCGAGCCCTCAGCGGAGCGCTCAGCACGCTGGGGCGCGGCCGCGCAGCTCCTCGAGGAAGCCCAGGACTCACCTTCAGAGGCGTAAATGTGTTTGCTTGGTCATTCGAGGGGCTTGCAGCACCACCGACCGATGTCAGTGTAAGCACAATTCCAGTGCAGGAGGGGCGGATGCAAACGGACATCATCTCGTGGAATTCGGCTGCTTGCTTCACCAACTAGACATTTCAATGTCAGTGTCCAGCCATTTCAAGCAGTACTGTACAGGGCCGCAAGACGTGTCAGTGTTCAGTCAACGCTCGGAGGTCCTCGCCGCTTGTGGCCGCGGACGTGAGACATCTGCGGTACTGCGCTCTTTGCAGGACTGTCGTGAATTTTTGTTGTCGATGGATCCAGCTGTTGTCAGAGCTCCGTTGCGTCCATGTTGTACAGGAGCTGATTCGCTTGAAAAACGAGCCGGACTGCGTAACGTACAACACGGTCATGAAAGCATGTGCGGCGGATCCTCGACGTTTTTTTAGCCACGTCCCCACAGAAAGACAGACATGCATACAGACATGCACCCTGATATACTAATACCTAGTTGCGGGCATACTTACGTACTGACTTACATACCTGCATACTTGAGATATAGCTGAAAAATGTAATATATTCGGTGCACTGAGGCTATGCTTTGGCAGAAAGCGCCACTCGTCCAAAAGAGATCTTGGGTGCGGCGAACAATTAAGGCCTCTTATTGGTTTGCTTATTGTGACTCGCTACGTATTCCAGCTACCCTGTTGGTTTTGAGGCACGATGTGGCACTTCGACTCCAGTGCTCTGACATCGAGGCGGACGCTTTCTCCTTGAACGAGCTGCTGACGTGCAGTCGCTGGAGGAGCCGCCACGTCCTGCAATACTCAGCACTGCTTTGCCATCATTCCCTCCTGGCAGCTGCAGGATGGGAATGCAGCTGCCTACAGCGCTGAAGGTTCAGTTGACGCCAGTTACTTGCGCCAGCCTCCTCTACGCCTGTGAAGCTTTGCTTAAAGAAGTCGCCGAAGCCAGAACTTCAGGCATGCATCGCGCCTAAGCTCAGGCGTGTCTCTGGAATTGATAGGCTCATGTTGGTACTTGACTCGAAGGAATGGCGAGTTGCGGTGCACCTCCTCCTCTCCCTAAAGGCCCGAGCAGCTACTTGTCACCAATGCTGTCGCGCACAGCTGTTGTGGCCAGGAGGCTGCCCTGGAGACAAGAACAATGAACTTCAATGCCGTCTTGCTCTCGAGACTTTGAACAACCACGGCTCTGCGATTTGCTCAGCTCCGACAGGTGACCAGTGCCTGCAGCAGGGCGAGTGCTTGGCGCAACACTTTGCTGCTAGCGTCGATGCTGACTAGGTCGGGCGGTCGAAGTCACATCGGTCTCGGATTCGGATGGCCGAAGCAATCGCCGAAGTAGGAATGATGGGCATTGGAGGAGCTTCTCGGCAGACTTGAAGATGGCTAGCAGCACGTTGGCCGCTTGCGGTGCTTCCGACGAGTGGGAAAGGCAGCGTTTCAGAGTGCAGCATAGTGTAAGCATATCTGGTATGGATGAGTACGGCATCTTTCCATCTCTACAACCTCTTACAACTCTACTGATGATGCTGCGTTGCAGGGCACTGTCTTTGTTCTTCGAGCTGCACACGGCGAAGCTGTCGAACGCATTCACCTATGGTGGGATCCTCACGTAACCTTCTGGTCTCCATGTGTGACAAGAACCGTGAGCAGGAGCAGCGATTTCCGCGTGCGGTCGAGGACTTGTGGAAGAAGGGGATGAGTCGGGCGAATTCAGCCCACAAGCTGCAGGAGGTTGCTGGCTTCAGGCATTCTGGCTGCTTGAAGAGGCAGTTCTGCATGTCTTATCATCTCGATCCTTCGTGGATCGTAGATCGGTGCGGAGGATGTTGAGCATGCCATGACGTCGAATGTCCAAAGTTGGGTCTTTCTGACTCGTGAGCTGCACCGCACGCTGTAGTCTGTCGAACAAGGGTCCTTCGTACATGTGTGTCCTGCAGGCGGCCGCATCCGAAATTGAACCGGACGACGTCATGTTGAATTCTGCAATCTCCGTACTGGGCTTGGCTGCTTTGGCAGTCGGATGAGGCTGATGAAATCAAATCATATCAAATCGGGCAGCCCAGGCCTGCCGTTCCGAGTGGGCCGCCGCAATTGCGCTGCTTGGTCCAAGTCAACGCGAGGTTACGGCGGAGACAAAGGCGAGCTTGACCAGCCTTTCAGGCTTCTCCACCGCTTCCTTTCGCAGAACATCCCTCCAACCGTCACCACCTACTGCGCAGCGCTGCTCCTGAGCTCTGAAGTTCTCTTGTTTTGCGTAGACGCAACTGGTACTGGCAGCGGGCAAGCCTTACATGATTTACCGGGCCTGATCGGGACCTGTCAACACCATCTCCGTGCTTTCTCTCTGACGGCTCAGGTCATGACGGCATGCGATCGTTGTGAGCAGCCCCGGAAGGCCGTGCCCGGCTGTCATTTTCCCTTTTGTCCCTGTCAAGCAGCATGCTGGCGAAGCGACGATGATGCTTGACGGTAGTGCTCTTGCAGCACTGCGCAGGTGCTGTCGGTATTTGGTGCCTGCGTGGCCGACGTGCAGCCCAATGCAACTGCCTCGGTTGGGTTGCGTTTCGCTCTTCACTGGAGTTTACAACACCAATTTTGAAAGACATGTTCTTTTGGGTTTTGTTCCGGAAGGTGGCAGCTCTTTACCCCTAACTCGAGCTTCTATCTGAGAGCAAACTGTGCAGGCGTAAGTTACTGATTTCGGATGCAAGAATGTTCCCAACCCTGGGTCGGACGCGTCGCCGTACCGTGCGTTGTCGCTGCCTGTTGGATGTGGCTGTCCTGGGTTGTTATCCAGTTGTATCATCACCTTGCTTGCCGCGCTCTCAGGCCTCTGAAACTCGGGGATCCCCCACCGAAAGCATCGTGTCCGTCCTCCGCCCAGTGGGCCAAAGAACTCCGAGAAACGGCCCGTCCTAGGCAGTCGCCGTCAGCCTTGGCCTCCGTGCTTGTGCGGCCTGGCAGCATGTTGGAAGGAGTCCAAACGGAAGAGTTCATCATCTCAGTCAGCACCACCCCCCCCCGGTAGTACTCGTCTTCCTTCTGTCAGACTCTTTCCTATCTGCAGTCATCATTCCTTGAGAAGCGACTTGTCCCCCTTCAAGGATGCTGCGGGTTGGTGGCATGCTGCAATGAGGCCCGGAACGTGTGGACACTGATCTGTTCATGGGGTTTTCTAGGGCATCTGTAACATTGTTGCAGGCTGCTGCATGAAGCGGCGGAGGCTGTGAGACGGCAAAGACTGATCGTCTGTTTGATGCATGGCCGGATCAGTAGCTCTTCGTCGACGTTGCGGAATCTTGAGGACAGTTTTGCCGTCTCGAGCCGCCAGGCGACAGTGGAGCTAGACGGCCAGTCCTTCGATGCAGCTCTCGGCGCATGCCGCCCCGGTCACTGGCGCACGGCCTGGCACCCAGGTGCAATGTGTCAACCGGTCGTCATCGATCGGAGCGCACAAGAAAGGATGTGTGTTGGGGCCCGTGTACCATCTCCACCTCGGTGTGACTGGATAAGTTCTTGTGGTGCTCATGCTCCAAGATAGCCTCCAAATCGTAAAGACAGGTACGAGGAACACTGAAGGGCTTGCTCGATGCATCACATGTGTCGCCAGACTTCGGCTGGCCCCCAGCCTCCCCGGATTACCTCCAGAGTGGCACACTGAAGCTAACCCCGCAGGGCACCTCGGATGTACAAACCTACCCTTAGTCAAGCAGAATGCTGAGCTGCTGTGGTTTGTTGGGGTATCAGTGATGTCTCAACCAGGCCATGATGCTTCTTGCCGGTGCTGAGAGGAAGAAGCTCGAAACGGAGGCCTGTTGTTTCATGTTACCCTACCTACCAACAGCTTTGTTGAAGTAGCCCTTGTTCACATCGACACCTGAGCAGGCTGGCGGCTGGTCAGCCATCGTGACCACCTACTGTCGAGCAGGCCGCCATCAACAACTGAGGTGCCTTTCACAGTTTTGATGCCTTTCACAGTTTTGATGGGCAAGTGATCTCTGGCGTGTGTTTTGCACTTCGTCCACAGTGCTAAGGTCTCTGATGAGTAGCCTGCGAAGCCAGGCATCAATTCGGCTTCAGCGGGTCGAAAGATGAACGACCCTCGGACAAGTGATCACCTCTTTGACCAGAGAATGCCTGGGCCTACGTTTCCCCAAAGGGTGCAACGACTGGCCACTGTGGCTGGCCACTGTCATGCAATCCGTTGTGCCGTGAGGGACCACACACGAAGGTTAAGCATCATCATGATCCGCCTCCTTCTTCGATGCAAGACCCAGCTTTTGCACCTCGTGTCTCTTTTAGTGTCGGGAAAAATAATCTGCTGGAAACGTTAGGTCGCTTGCGAGACGGCGTTTGCCTAGTAGCATTCAGTTTTTTTTATACTTTGTGAGTCGTTTCTTTGTGGCCATTCCCTCAAGAGAGATGGGAGTCGAGCGCGCCGGAGTTGAAAGCAAGTTATGCCATAGTTACCGTAGTTACTCCGTCCGTAGTTTTGTGGGGAATGGTTCGCTCATTTCGGATCTTCCACTGCAAGACTATCGCGACGTGGATGCAAACGGGCCAAGGAAGGTGCTGTACAAGGACATGTCAGTGCAGCCGTCCTATAAGCATAGAGCTGCGACGCATCGTTCCCTCTTGCAGCGAGTTTTCTCGAGTCAAGGATCGTGTAGGATCAAGCCATGTGCACAGCCAAACTACTGCAACCTGGCCAACATGCCAAGATTCGTGAGTCTCTCGGTACTTGAGAACACCTCCAATACAAAGAATGGTGTCCTTTACCACGGTTGTCGTGTGAGATCGCGGGGAGGGTGGAGGGCCCAAAACCGTCGGGATGTGATGCCTGGGATGGGCCTCGGCCAGCTGCTGCGGAATGTCGGTCACCTTGAAGAAGAAGGAGCGGCGGCAATAAACATCTAAATTTGCTTGAATCGTGTTCTGTTGCAGGTGCCTGGAGCATCCGACGGCATCCGCAGAGATCCAGTTTTCAGGAGGTCGAGAGACCGAGCTACGGAAGTGATGTGTTTGGCAGATCGTGATGTGGCTGAGGCAAGTGGCGGAGCGCCACCCCCGAAGGAGGGGCTAAAGCCCCCTGGCATATCATGCGAAAGTCAGCTGTGACGTTTATTGATGGTGCCAGCCTCTTTGCCTTGGATGCCTTGCCTGAGCATCAGGAAAGTGGAGAAGGTTTCTCAGAATGTGGGATGTGCTCCTGGCTTTCGATGTATGCCAGAGTACTCGGATCAGGGCGATTGTGGGTGCATCCCACAACACAAGAGTCGAGCAAGGTCGAAAATCAGCGAGTTCGGCATGGAGCACAATGGCCGTTGCCCAAGTTTGGCATTTTTCTTGCCTGCTAAGAAGCACGCCCGTGGCATTGCTGTTGACGGAGGTGAGTACAAGCGCGTCACTACGCCGAAGCTACCTGCCAGATTTGAGCAAAGGGACGTGTGGGAGTGGGGTTGTCCAGCCAGAGGCCGGGAACTGGTCTGTAGCCGGCTGTCCTAGGCTTTGTGCTCAGAATATTCAGAATGCTCGCCTTTCGGCAGGCAATATGACTTCCACCGGGAAGTGCCACCCACCAAAGCCAGGCCGCTCGTGTGAAGATCGAACTTGTGATGGCTGCGGGACTGATCGTCTCTACATGAGGTGAGGAAGCCGAAGCAGGACCGGCTCTGGGCTGGGCAAGCGGCAGCTTCCGTTACGGAGAGAGAAAGGAGATTCTTGCCGCTTGAAGCTGGTGATATGTTACTGCAGGAATGTGCTGGTCCCAGAATGCAATGCTCGTCAGGGCCTTGTTCGAAACCTGGAGTTTCTCCTTCCTGCTTTGCTTCCCAGGCTGGGCCAAAGACTCCTTGCGGCACTTCTGGCGACAAGCGCCTCGCCTGCTGTCTGGCCGGGCCGGACCCAGCCATACCGTCTTTCCGAGGTGCATGTGCGTGAAGCCGGTCACAAGTGATGGGTCAATCGGCTATGGGCTCTTCGGCAGCAAGGCATTGGTTCAGAGGCTCTGGGTCTTTGTTGCTTTCGGTAGAAACTGGTGGTGATTCAACTGCAAGGTACCGCAGCCGCGACATTCTTCCGGAGTTCACCGAGGGCGACTCGAGTGATGCCGGACCACCCCGCTGAACACCGCCAAGAATTCGTAAAACTGAAAAAAAAATTGGAAACCCTCTCAAGACAACATGGCACGCAGGAGGAGTGGAGGTGGTCATGGGTAACTTTCAGGTCCAGCCACTTCCACACTGTCTCTGCCTCGGCTGAATGTGCCGCTTTGCAGCATGGGATGGCCCCAAGTGTTTGAGGTGATGACTGTTTAGCGCTGAGCAGCAACTGGGACCGGGCGGTCGTTTCCACAAGAGCCTTGGTGTGAACCCTGCTGCAGCGCAGGAGCAATGTTCGGAATGTGCGAACTGCTCTTACGGCACGAAAGACTTGGACGGGCGGCCGTGCCTCGGCGACTCGCAATTTCGGGTCTTCGATCTTGGAGTCTGCGCAAGCTCCGAGGACTCTCGCTTGCTTCGACAAGGACTTTCAGGCCGTAACAAAGCCGTGTCAAGCATCAAGCATCCCGGGTCTGCGAACTGTCGCGAAGCGAACGCAATCTCTCTTTTTTTGCCTTCCCTTCCCAGCCACCCGGAGCGGCTGCCGATGCTGCCGAGATGCCACAGGCAGGGGTCGCCCTGGCAGGAGTTTGAGGGAGCCCGGACGCAGGGCTAGTTTTCTGGGGCCGTGCTCTGCAGAGATTTGCTGGCGATTTCGTTTGGGCGTGCGGTGTGCACGCATGACAGGAGGAGTATCGGAAGAAGAACTTCGTCCTGCTACAGGGCAAGCGAGCAGAGGAGCAGGCGCTGGCGGAACGCTGTCGCTTTTTTTTTGGCCCCCCGATCCTGGAAAGGATCTGTGGACCATTCCTCAATATCCGCTGCAACTCGGCACTTTGGCATCTGTGCTGCTTTGCCTGCCTGATTCACACTGGAATTGGGTGGAGGTGGGATCCGGAGCCTGATGGTATGGAAGCAGAGGATGCGAACGGCCTCGGGCTTGGACGAGCTTGCACGGCTCAGGCTTACAGTCGTTTCCAAGCTGTCGACTGCAGATTTGCAGCCCCAAGGGCTCGCACTGAGGCGGACAAGTCTTTCCGTTCCAGATTAACACGGAGCCTCTTTCCAACGAGGAGCCGCAGAATGCAAACACAACATCGTTCGTGGTCCGTGGGCTGACTTCCACAGGCATGGGTCAAGGCATACAAGACAGCTGCTCCAAGAATTCAGCAGCTTGGCAGGTAATATTTGGGACTGACCCTTGGATCTTGACATTGTGGGAGAGGGCATCTGACTTGTGCAAGGTCTTTGATGGATACCATTGCAAAGAAGCTGAAGACTCGTTGGGGACCAGGAGCTCCGACAGAGGAGTGCTCGCAACTTTTTGAAGCGAGATATGTCAAGGCGGGGAATGCCTGCATGGACGCAAGTGCTGTGTCGATGGCAGCAAGTAGGTCATGCAAGTTCATGCAGAGAAGCGTCCGCAGCACCGTTTTCAAGTTGGGACAAGTCGTCAAGCGGCAGAGCCGGGTGTCCGGCGGGAGGGGCATGGCGAAGCACTTCACCAACAACTCCTGCCCTTTTTGCCATCGAGCCATGTTTGCTCGCGCTCTGAGACCGGTGGAAGTGGAAACACAGTATGTGCCCTATGGTCGGCAAGTAGAGTTCGCTGAGCGGCTTGGTGTCGAGGCGATTCAGGGAGGGTCCCAGCCTTTCAAGAGCAAGACAGTCGCAGAAATCAAGGCAATTCGACAGGAATATCTTGATAAAATCAATCCCAGCGGGGAGGTGCCGAGTCTCTGCACAGCTGAGGGAGCCATTATCACGGAGTCTGAAATCTTGGCAGAGTATTTTGATTTGGTCTCCGACAGCCCCAGCCCGAAGCTTGTTCCGCCGGACCCCGTGCAAGCCAGTCGGGTCCGATTGGTTATGAAGAAGTTCAATGATGTCATTCCGGGCTTGTTTGGCCTGCTGCGCAACCAGGATGGAAGTAAGGACCAAGACTGGGCTGACAAGATCAAGTCCAGCTTGCAAAAGTTCTCTGCTGTCCTGAGCAAGGAGAGCGACTTCTGTGTTGGGAGCAGGGTATCCTTAGCTGACGTGCATTGCGCACCCTTCCTTCACCGCTTGAGCATAGGTTTGTTACATTTCCGTGACTTTCAGTTGCTGTCGGATCCACGCATCGAGAAATTGTTGAAGACTGTTACAGAGCTGCCGGAGTTTCAGAACGGCAACCTGCCAGACAAGGATATCATTGCGAACTACGAGTTCGTAGCACATGGTTCGCAGTGGGCCGGTGATGGCAAATCTTTCCACGGTCGTGGCAGGAGTAAGTTTGGACAGCACTTTGGCAGACTCGATGCCGGAGTGACCATTCACTACTTTCCGGTGCGTGGTCGGGCAGAAGCTTTGCGGATGCTACTGCGAGCTGCAGGGATTCCGTATGTTGATAAGTTGTACAGCCCGGAGGAATGGAATGAGGCAAAGAAGATGATGCCTGAGGGCAAGGGCGTGCCTGGTGTATCAACTCGACCCGTCGGCAACAGAGGCTTGCCAGTTCTGGAGCTCGCAACTGGGGAGCTGGTTCCGGAGACAGCGGACATCGCCCGCCTGATTGTTCAGGAAGCATCGCCGGGAAAGTTTCCGGCTTTGCAGGGCAAAGAGCTCGATCAAGCCCACGAAATGGCCGTGGCGTCGAACACCTACCCTCTTATGTTCCCCGGTTGCATGTTAGCATCCTACCCAGAAGAGGTCACCGATGCCATTCTTCGAGGTGAGAAGCCAGACACGTATCACGGCAATCTGTCGAACCTCCCGCCATACAGTGACGTTCTTGTCTCCCTCCAGCGTTGGGAGGCATGTTTAGGTGATGCACAGTTCTTTGCCGGAGATGCGCCACACTATGGAGAGTTCATGCTTTTCAATGTCATTGATTCCCTGAGACTTGTGGACCCCACATGTGCGGCGAAGCTGGGATGTAAGCTGCGCAGTTGGTTTGACAGGATGGCAAGGCTCCCTTTCATCGATGAGTACCTCAGGGAGCGCCCACAGCCTGGACCCACTGCACATGGCAAACCCGGCTCCATCATCACGAAATATGCAGATCCTGCTCAGCGGAGGTGCAGATGAAGTTCCATGCGCTGTCACAAGCACAGACGGTATTAGCATCGCCCGCCATCGACAGCGAAGTCTTTTCCAAAAGTTCTGGTTTTGGAAACACTTTGGCAAACCTTTCCTGGACAGGCACAATCAGCCAGGAAAATGTGCAAGGAAATGCAGACGCTGCAGGCCAGGCGGCCGGGGAGAGTGGCACCCGGGAAGGCAAGGAAGGCATGTCCGTGCACTTTTTGCTCTGTGGAGGCCACTCTGGCGCCTGGAGAGCTTGGCACCTTTCCTCGAAGATCTCCATCATCAGGTCATGTCATCGTTCTGCGGACTCTCAGAGGATCCTAGGAATGGTCATGCGTGGAAGGAGAGCTCCTGCGCTGCGAGTTTCATCGGAAGGTCCATTGATGGGCAGCTTGCTGCGATGTGCCGGGTTGCCCTTCGCTGCTCAGGACACCTGTGAGAGGCTCAACTGTTATAGCCATGACGACGGTTATGCCCAAGCCGTGGCTTGGCTCGAGCTTCTGTGCGGAAATGGCTCGATGCTCGTAGCTTTTCTCCAGCCAGGTGGGTGACTTGAGAAAGCGGGACGGCGAATGCAAGCCAGGGCCTCAGTGGCTCCGCTTCTTTCCCTAGAAAAGCCGGCCGGATTGCCTGAAAGGTAAAATTTGATTTCATGCATGCCTGCATCGCCTCGGGTAACTCCGTGCAGCATCGCTCGACACCTCTTTCGCAGTGAGTGTTCGCACACATACACACAAGCTTGTATCTGCACGCGACCACGCTGATGAAAGCAGTGCCCGCTTGATGATGCCATCACTCGTCAGTGACCGGCACAAGCGCGAGCAAGCAACTCAAGCTTTCTGTTCTGTGCAGCTGCAGCGTCCCGAAGCTCCAGGCCTCCCAGCTCACAGGAATGCCGGCACATCGAATAGCTGTCAGAGTTCATCGGACTTGTCTTAGCCAGAGTATCGCCTCCATTCGCGTCTTGCCACATCCGCATCCTACAGTTGCGCTCATGTTCTTCCTTTCTCTTATCGTCCGGCGATTTCTTTGTTCTTTCTGGCACTTTGTGGGCTCTCAATTGCTGTGTTCCTTATCATACCGAAAGCTCGGACAAGGCTCGAAAGAGAAGCAGAGCTCGAACGTGAGCATGATCATCAGGCAGCCGTGGTGTGCACCAAAGAGGAACGCATTGCGAAAAGTTGTCACCCACTGGTTCAGGCAAAGACATCTTCGCCAGCAGCCAAAGGTGCGCTTAGTGCAGCCTGGCGATTAAAACAAGGCTTGTGTTTTTAATCAAAACAATCTTGAGCTTCCACAGGGAACTTGTGTTTCGGGCTTGTGGTTCCGAGAGTTCAAGACATGTTGCAGGCATCCCAACCACCTGCTACTGAACACGGCATGTCGCTGAGGTGAAGGACCTGATGAAGGAAGAGGCGGGATGAGTTCAGCAAATATCCTCCGCAGCAGGTAGCGGAGTGTTTGTGTGTTTCTCTCAAGGAGACGCCCCTAGTTCCAGAGGACACACCGAGCTGCTTAATCTTGCTTTCAGATGTTGCTTGGGCGACTGGTGTTGCCACTGATATTCCATGATGCTCCAGGACGGTGTGAAGAAGGTGCAGCAGGTTGGTTGAACAAGTCAGAAGCCTGCCGCTTCGCATGTTATGATCTCCAGGTGATACCATCGGCGGCACTCGTTCTAGTCCCCCCAGGCAGGCTTGTGTGTCCGTCATCTCGGCCGTGTTTGCCCCTCGTGCAGGCTGGAAGCGAAAGCCAAGACAGCGTGCAGGCATGACGCTCTGCGAATCTCTGTGATCTGCAACGTCAGGCATCAGAGGGCAATGCGCCAAATTCCTGGAGGTGATTTTCTCGGCGACGCAACCATGCTGCTCGAAAGCTGTGAGTAGTAGCTCGGCCGCTTGTCGGTTCACGCGCCAGTCTGCGCCGTCGAAACTAGGTAAGTGCTTTGTTCAGTGATTCAGCAACTCAGGAAATGCAAAGGGGGGGTCAGCTAAACACTGTTGCGGTTGTGGTTGCTTAAAGCCGGAACCTTGTGGTCCTTTGGCTCAGACATGTCATTGCGATTACGCCAGAGCCCCGGCACGGGTTCAGGCATGGGCATGGGCATGAACCGCTGGCAAGTCCACGATGCAAGAGCCTGTACTTGAAGCTCACTTCATCGTCCCGTGGAGGATGGCAGTCGGAGTGCATGCCTTCTGGTGCTGCATCTTCCGACGAACACGATGAGACGAAGCAGGCCAAGAAATGCAGTGGGCATTCACTGAGGAGCTGTGCATTTTCGCAGGGCGCATGGCGGCGGCAGCTGGAAACAGCGGCCGTGGTGACTTCCTGGTTCGTCCTGAACATCACAATCGCAAGTTCAACGAAGTGGATCTTCGTTCACGGCAGAATATGTTTGCAGGATGTTTTGGGGATAAGAGCCCGTGAAAATCTTGACTCTGATCCGTTGCAGGACAAGGGATGTACCACGTATCAATATCCGGTGGCTATCACAGCCTCTGCCTTGCATCGGAGATGTCGAGTAGGAATCCCTGGATTGTGAATCGGATGTTGGCCCGACTCGGACCCTCTCAGGTCATCCACATGATCTTTTCCTGGATGCTGTGCAGAGTGTACATATTTCAGCTTCGCAGAGGTCTGGAAGGCAGGTGCGGTGTGTTCAAGAATCTCCGGATGCTCTGTCCTTGTCAGGGAAAGCCTTGGGACTGGCGCAACAAGCGCGGGAGATCATGCCTCTTTCGCTCTGCTTTGCACTTTCTGTGGCGATGGGCAACCTATCTCTGAAGTATATATATCCTTCCTTCAACCAGATGTTGGGACCCGCGCTTACTCGTGGTTTTCTGCTGTTGTGGTCACAGACACGCCCAGAGCTCGGACTACCGGCCGAGGATCCATGTCACCACTGATCACAGTACTGCTGGCAGTGGTGATGCAGCAGAAGCGGTTTCCGCTGAAGACGTGGCTGTCCATGCCGGTCATTTGTCTTGGGCTTGCAGTTTGCAGTGCGAAGGAGGCTGGGCTAAAATGATGCGTGTCATGGCTCTCCGAAGCTCTCTGATTTAATCCTGCATGCTCTGGTCGAGACTGGGTTGCTAGCACCAAGGAGCTCAACTTCAATGCGCTCGGTGCGTTTTACGCCTGTGGAGCTACCGTGCTTCGAGCGGTGAAATCCCTCATTCAAGGAAGGCAGGGGCAACCGCACCAAAGTCGCTGTCTGAAGGGGTGCTGGTGCTTCAATCTGCGAGGCTCCTGTCCACCTCCCACCAGATGGATTCTGCATCTTGACATCAGTATTGCTGTCAATTTCGGTTGCTGTTGGCACGTTGGCAGTGGCCGGACGCCTGACTTGCAACGCGTTCGGATGAGTTGCTTGTGACGGCCTTTGTGCAATCAGCTGAGGTAACTCTGCTGTTTTGAGCTCAGTTGAAGTTGGTGGAGCCACGCTGTACGGAGCAGTCATGTCATGCTTTTGGAGGCAGTTGCATAGCGCACTTGCGCGCAGTAACAAAGCTCTAGCTAGCTCTGATGACGAACTGCCGCAACTCCGGCCCGACTTCCAGCCGGTTCTTTGTAGAACGTCGCGATACGGTGCTGAATTTTATCCAAACGACGAACAGAATCCTTCGAAACATTCCTGTCGCGGTGCAGTCTTTTGCTTCGATCCGGCTAGTTCACGTAGAGCCCCGTGTATCCCGTGTTTTCGTTCATGCAGCATTTCCAAGCGTGCTGCTGCTTGAAACGCACCTGACGAGATGGCCGCGACCACCCACCGCAACTCCTGCAGCTTTTCGAGAAGTCGACCGCCATCATGATGTTCAACCCAAGCTCATGCTGGTGAGAGATTGGGTCCTAGGCGAGGGAAAGCCCAGCAACCAAGGAGATTTTTTCTTTTGGCGTGCCGTCCTAGCGCAGACCTTCGCTGCCACATGAGCGATACGCTGCAATGAAAAGGTGATTTGTGGATGAGGGGTCCAGTGTTCGAAGCATATTCGCGCACGCGTGGCATCGCGCCCTGAGACTTGGTAGCTATGCCTTCATGACTTGAGTACCGGATCCCTCTTATTCAGAGCTTCTGAGCCAATCCGCTTTGACTTGAAGGTACTACATGGCTCCGTGGGCAGCCATGTGGCTAACTTTGATTATGTTATTCATGGAGGCCGGCATGGATGTGCATGACTATCATGACTTGCAGATTCTGTCTTTCTGAGCGCTCCGTGCATAGCACAACCGTGAAGGGCGGCGAGCCCTTGCTCTTATTACTGGCGGTGTTCGACCTACAAGGGACCTCGTGGCAAGTTTAGTGCCAAGCTGCTTGGAAGTAGATGGTGCCCTCGGCCTTTGTCATGTCTTTGGAAGTGGCCAGGTTGGGGCCCGATGGAGACGCCGGCGTAACTGGCGCTGGCCGAGTGCTTGTTCTCCTGATGCTTTCAGGCGGGATGGGGCCGACGGCAGCCGTTCCGAGTGGATCTCTTTTTCCCAAGTCTCAGGCTTGAACGCGTGCCTCCTGAACATTGCCAACTTTCTGGTAACCTCCTACACCAGCCCTGCACGGCGCCCGCTGGGCTGGCAAGGTTGTAAGCGTCAGATAAAATAAGCCCAGGTCACTCTTCAAGTTCTTGGTAATGTCAAGAGCTGCCTCTCCATTGCCGTCTCAGTGGCGATTTTCAGGACGAGCTTTGCATATGTACTTCATGTGGCATTGCCTCACTCGGCAGTCGCGCAGCAAGGAATAGCCTGACTTTGGAGCAAGCCATCGGAGTTTGTACGTGCCTGATTGGAGTGTGGATGTACAACCAGAAGGCCGGGGCACCTGTTCATTCCCGGACCGTGCATGCAGTAAATGTCTCTGCATTGCAGTCCTCTCCGGGGCCGTCAGCTGCCCCCAAGGTGCAACAGCCGGTGTGCCTGCAGATAAAGTGTTTATATTCCTGCTGTGGCCCCCGCCGGCATTCCTGCATTCTGCTTGCGAGAGACTTTCCGGCAACACGCAAGGAATCAGTAGCAGACAGTCAGCAAGCCTGTGCTTACCTAGAACAGAAAGCAGACAGCGGGAGTCCTTTCTTCGCACGAGCCCTCAATAGCAAGCTCAAGATCCTGAACAAACGGGAGAAATCCAGCATACACATCCCGAAATCCTGAAACCTGAACATCGCCGAATTCCTGCGAGCCGAAAATTTGTCCTGAAGTCATTTACAGTGTCTTCTTCAGAGTGGGAAACCCTTGTCTTGAGTTTAAGCGACGTACAAGACCAGCTCAGACCGACTTTCGGTAGAGTGCCGTAGAGGCTTGCGAGCGTTTGGGGTTCTAGCCTTTGGGCCTTTCGGAATCGTTCAGGTTTGGGAGTCTTGCCAAAGTGGCCAGCTACTATCTCCAGCTGGGAGGCTGCTGCCGATGCTGAGCCTTTGGAGATCTCACGCCTGGGCGGGCGAAGTTAATGCTGCTTGCGTCCAGGAAAAGCTCCGCAGGCACGGCTTTTTGCCCACCGTCGCATCGTACTGTGCAATCTAGCCTGACCAGTCGTTGAATACACAGCAAGATCCAGCGGGCTGCTGCATCACGAGCATCATGATCATCATGAACATCAGCATGAGCGTCAACATGAGCGTCGCCAACGCAGTAAGTTGCGTCAGCCGCCATCCAGCAGGTCCTCGCGTTTGGACCGAGCATGATCATTGGTGGCCGTTTGTGGATCTAGTAGACAGCAGATTTGTGTAGACCTTTAACTGTTAGGAGGGGTTCAGAATTCCGCCATTGACAAATTGACGGCTACGCCATGGAGTACCTGGCAGAGTCCCTTCAGAAGCCGTCTATGCCAAAACAACAGACCCCTATCCCATTCAAACCTATCCGTGAAGGCGTCCACCCCCTTTGGCCCTAGGGCCCTAGGGCCATAGACGGGGATCCGGTAGGTATCCATGTGATAGATTGGGCTCCTTTTCCGATAAGCGTCTATGTGCCCACGGAAGTCCACGCAATGTCTCGTGTGGAGTTGCTTGCCTGTTCGTGGTGCCATCGTGAACCAGATTTAGGGGTGTCTTTTGCGGTGTGTCGTTTAATCATACTCGCACGCAAATACCACGCGATAGAAGGGGGGGGGGTACTTGGTAACCTATCTTCCAAGGCGGTTGCACACATACACCGCTGCAGCTCCGTCGCTTAGCAGCTGAATGGGTGCATTGCCCGGCAACCTGGAAGCACGCTCGCCTGAAAGGGCCGAAGGCTTTAAGTGCCAGCAGCGAGCCAACCTCCCCATAAAGACGACGGACAGCCGGTGCCGCCGTGACAGGGGGGGGTGTGGGGTGGGGGGGGGTAGGGGGGCATACCATGGGATGGGCGGGGAGGGTGGGGTGTGGCAGCCCTGCATCATATATATATATATATGCACATGTATACACACATACACACACACACATGCACTCACGAACACGCGCAGAGACATAAAGGTATATATATTAGGGGCTGCCTCTAACAGTAACTTGCATGCTCTCTTTACAGGAGAAAAGCTCGGTAAGATGCTATATAAATTGAACACTTATTTCAGGCTACTGAGCACTTATTTTGGGGCTACTGAACACTTATTTCGGGGGCTACTGAACACTTATTTCGGGGCTACTGAACACTTATTTTGGGAGCTACTGAACACTTAGTTTGGGGGCTACTGAACACTTATTTTGGGGGTTACTCAACACTTATTTTGGGGCTACTCAACACTTATTTTGGGCCCCAATTTGG